TTCACAGCCATGGGGATGGTGTGTTGAGTCTTTATGGTGATGAGGTCATTCCCGCTGGTGTCGATCATGTTTGGATTGCACAAAATAGCCCAGCTGCATGGCGGCTCTCCGTATGGAGTCGCTAATGCACTTGCGATCAACGCAGCTGATATGATCTGAATAAATTATAATATTTTAGTAATTATAGTTTGAATTAGTTATAAAGAAAAAAAAATTTGAAGAATTTTAATAATTTTTCAAATTTTTGTTGCTCTTATCTTTGATAATTTGAAAAATTTTAATAATTTATTGTAAAAAAAATAAAATTTCATAGATAAATATTTTTTTAGTAATATTTTACTTCTTCAATAAAATTAAAAATGATAAAATTTCATGAAAATTAAGTTAGCCGACAATTAAAAATTTTTAGAATTTTTTTATTTTATCGAAAAAATGATTAGAAAAAAATAAAATAAAATTCACTTGTTAAAAACTTCAAAAACTATAAGTGCAATTTTTTAATAATATTTTTTTAGTTGTAATTTAATAAATTAAGCAAAATAAAAAAATCAAAAGTGTCGGCTAACTTTATTATTATTAAAATTTTTAATTTTGGAGTTTTTTTTATAAAAAAATTATTTTTAAACAAAAAAATTCGATTTGAATAATAATTTTAATAATTGAAATTATTTAAAAATTGAAAACTGTGTTTGATTTAAATTATAAAAGAAAATTATTTTACTTTCTGCAATTAAATTTATAAAAAAATTATTTTCAAACAAAAAAATTCGATTCAAATAATAATTTTAATGATTGAAATTATTCAAAAATTGAAAACTGTCAATTGATTAAAATTATAAAAAAAATTTATTTTACTTTCTAAAATTAAATTTAGAAAAAAATTATTTTAAAATATTAAAAAAGTATTTATATCAACTAAATAAAATAATTTTTACGATTCATGTAACAATTAAATTATCATGAAAAAAATTCCATTTTTAGAATTTAAAAAAAATTTGTGTGAATTTTTAAAAATAGTTTATTTTTATTCACAATTAATTTACTATAAAAATTCAAAAAATCACTAAATATTTGCTGAATTTAGTATTATTATCACAAAAAAATAAAATTAAAAATTAAAAAAAGGAAAAACTTACCCAGTAAAACATCTTGTCGACCGTAGTATGCACTTACAATTTGAAGTTAACGTGGTTAATGATACCCATCACCAAAATGCACCCGGTTATATACTGAATAGATAAGAAAATGTCGATAATGACAAAAATGTATTGAAAAATATCTTCTGCCACGATGTATTAACGTCACTAATTTTTTCGTAATTATTCTCAGGTTATCTTCGATAGAAAGACAATAACAATAGTTTAGAAATAGTCATTAGTTAGTCATCAGTTATCAGTTTTCAATAATTAGAATCAAATAAATCTTCTGACACACACAAAATATAAACTAAATCATACGATAAACTATGAAACTTTTTGAAACATTCCAACTATCAATCATAATCAAAGTCTTGTTTATAAAAATTAAATTATTATTATTTTATACTCATTGTTTGCTTGTGAAATAATATTTAGTCATTTAATATTTAATTAATACATCTTTATTATATATTCTATTTTTAATATTAATGAATAATTTTTATTATTCATAGGAGAGAGTCGGGATGAAGAAATCATGCATTTTTTCAATCCAACTAAAGTATACACTTCAATTATTATTGGAAATTATTTTTTTCCGTTACAATTTATTGTGAAAATTTTTTAGTTGAAAAAATTCGTTGTTACTTCATTTTTTTTTTAAATAAATTACTCAGTTCCGCATAACAAAATTTATTCATGGTTTATTTTCAATAGATATGCTAAATACCAATCGCATTAGATTAAAGTGAATTATTTAAAGTATTTAAATAAATTTATTGTATAAGATAAAATGAAATTTTAATTTTTTTGCTTAAAAATGTCGATTATTTTTTTTAATAAATATCCCGACAAGTGTTTAAAATCATTTCGTCGTACCAATCGTTGTTTATTATATAACAATTTTTTTTTTTAACAATAACCACGTACTGTTTCATAACCCCGCGAATAAAACCTAAATTTACTCTTCGGTACTCCTGAGATTGTTTATACGCTACACCTTGCGACATTCGATCAAATCCTACGAAATCAAAACAAAAAAAAAATAACTTATTGTTCCAATAAAATGTTATTTCTTCATATAATTTAATCGTAATTACTCATTACTTATCAGCTAAACCATAAATACCCCATAAATCAAACCGACAATAAATAATAAATAATAACTAATAAAAATAAATTCACTTATATATTATTATATTACACTTATTGTAACAAATAGTTACGCATGTTTTTCCGATCGACGAACCAGGACTTGGTCAATATTACGATAAACGTTTCAACACTATTCACAATTATAATTGTATACGACAATTTCTTTTCCTCCTGACACCCAGCTGGATATTTTTTTTTTATTATTATTATTCAATTATTTTCTTTTTATTCTGTTCTATTATTAGGAATTTAAAGAAAAAACTGCTTGTTATATAACAATAATTAAAATAGCTCGCACGAGTAATCGGCAAAAAACGCAATTGATAATGAATAGCTAGATTTATTTAAAAAAGTAATGAAACCTTGATAAAACCTCTCACTTCTTTCTTTACTTTTTCCTTTCTTCAAGGTCATTTTACTATTGACCACCAACACTTATAACTATTATCCATTGCAATAAATATAAACGACATACAATTACTTTAATCTCACCCTGAGATCATTAAATAGTTTCGCTATTGTGAGTAACAATTACTGTTACAGTAATTACTTCAATAACCAATTATTAATTAAGTATTTGTTAACGCTTGGCGATTAAACTTGACCCTATGGTTTTTTTTTTCAAAGGTTATCCACTCAGATGCTTTGAAAAATTTTAATTTTTGTCATATTGTCAGATATAATTAAAAAAAAATTTTTTATTAATTTAAAATTAAAAATTTCGCGTATTTATTGATGTGCTATCTTTATAAAAATTTTATAAATTTGAAAAAATATCAACAATTATATTAATTAATCAAGTTCAATAATTTTTCAATAAATATAATAATTATAATTTATAATAAAACCAAATGAAAAAAATTCGGAATTTTTGAGAGGTAATTTTATCTTGATTTTTTCAGAAAAAAATTTATTTATAAAAAAATTATCAATATTAATTTATTTATTGAAATATGACAAATTTTCCGTATAAATTTGGATTATAAATATTTGATCATTAAATTAGTTAAAATCAATGTAAGTTATAATGAAAATAAATTAAATTTATTTTACTAAATAAGCAGTTAAGTCTTGTGCTAAGTACAATTAGAAGAAATTAGACTATTACTATTATTAAATTACAATACTGGTTAATTTAAGCATATAAAATTTATATTAAGTTATTAATTAATTAATAAAAGAATTTTCTTTATTAATTTAAAATTAAAAATTACCCGTATTTATTAATGCGCTATTTTTATAAAAATTTTTAATAAAAATTTTGTAAATTTAAAAAATTATCAAGAATTATATTACTTAATTAAGTTCAATAATTTTTCTATAAATATAATAATCAAAATAAAATCGAAAGAAGAAAATTCGGAATTTTTGAGAGGTCATTTTGTCTTAAATTTTTCAGAATAAAAAAGAATGAAGAAAATTTATTTTTTCTTATAATTATCAACATTAATTTATTTTATTTTGTTGTAAAAAAAATAATTTTTTATTAAAAATAATTTTATTTTTAGATTAGAAATTTTTTTTAATTAATTTTATTTTAATTTACAAAGTTTGAATTATAAATAAATAAATCATTAAATTAGTTAAAATCAATGTAAGTTATTATGAAGATAAATTTAAGTTATTTTACTAAATAAGTAGTTGAGTCTTGTACTAAGTACAATTTGAATAAATTAGCCTATTATTATAATTAATTTACAATACCGGTTAATTTAAGCATATAAAATTTAATATCAATTTTTTTCTCTAAAAATACCATTATTCAATTAACGAAGTGTGAAAAAAAAATCTAAATAATATTAAAATAAAAAAAATTGATATTAATCTATCGTTAATCATATAATTACTATCATAAGCATGCTTCCAGGAATTATCAAGTAAAAAGTAATCTCACTTATACTTATTAAACAAAGCCTTAAGCGGATTAAATACTTAACGTTTACATTAGTCGTTAACTAATAATTACAGTGTTTAATCACCGTTAAAGTTTATAATACTTATCATTTATGGCTGATAATATATTGATAAAATAAATAATAAATAATGAATTATGGGAGCAGATCAATCGAAAATGGAATCAATCAGTCGCGACTTGCTCCGATGAATAAATCAAACATAATGAAATGGAATCAAGCAAGAGGTGAATAGAATGCAGACACGTGAGGCTGGATACCTTCAATATTAAAGCAGTTAGAAGGCGTTAATATGAACCGGATAAAAAATAATTTAAAAATGCAAACCCGATGACCACGAGGTTACCTACGTGCCCCGAGTTAAATGTTACAGGTAAGGGTAGGGCTTAGGAAGGAGAGCAATGAGCATTGTATCCACTGGGTGTGTCACCCAGCCAGTACTCTAATCCTCAGAGGTGGGGAGGTTGTTAGATAGATGCGAATCTCTATAAATTGAAAGATCTTAGCTCCGAGAAGGCATCGACGCAGTTCCAGTACCATAGTGACTCTTAGTCAACGTCAACATGTTTCAATTGGTACGTACCGAACAATACATAATAATACACATTATTTTTTTTTATAATTGTCAGTTATTATAATTTATAATTGTAATAATAAAGTTTTAATTTTTTATTCAATTGTAAAATTTTTGCTTGTTAATAATCATTTTTTATATAATTTTTTTTTTTAGTTAGTTAATTTCTAATTACTATAATTAATCTTTAAAAATCGAGATACATTTGTAATTTGATTAACAATGAATCAACAGGTAGACTATTAATAATTTATATTCTCAGCTGTTAACTGATTACTAATTACTATCTGCTTGTTTATGAGTGCAGTGATGTGTGAATTCTTGAAAAGTTTTGAATTAACTGTACTAGAAAATTTAATTATTATTATTTATTTTATTAAATAATAAATAAAATTTAAATTTTATTATCAAATTTTTTTACTCTTTTTGTTAAATTTTTTTTTATAAAAAAAATTTTTTACCATTAAAAAATTTTTAAGTTAAAAAAAAAAGTTTTACAAATTGACTTGATACTTTCAATAATTAATTTAATTTTATTTAATTAATAACAATTTTTAAATGAAATTATCATCACACTTTTCATGCATTAATCTTAAAAATTTAATCGTCAATTTCAAGTTGTATAATAATTATAATTAAAAATGATAAAAATAATTAAGAGGATCAAAAACAATACTTATAACGACTAATTTAATTTTATATAATTAATAATCATTTTTAAATTAAATTATAACACTTTTCATGAATAAATCTTAAAAATTGAATCGTCAATTTCAAGTTGCTCAATAATTATAATTAAAAAAGCTAAAAATAATTAAAAGGATAAAAAATCATACTTTTAATGACTAACTAAATTTTCTATAATTAATAAAAGTAATAATTAAATTTTTTTTCAGACAATCTTAGCCGGTCTCCTGAGTGTTGCCTTGGCATCACCCCAATGGTACCCCCAACCAGCCTACCACGGAGCTCACGCCGGGTACGCACACGGAGCAGCAGCGCCCCTTGGGCCTGACGGTCGGGTAGTAGATACCCCCGAGGTAGCCGCCTCAAAAGCCGCGCATTTAGCCGCTCTTGCCGAAGCATCCGCACGCGCGCCCCATGGACCCGCCGATCACCACGACGGAGCTTACCACGACGGATGGAACGCTCCCAACCCCGCCTACGCCCCAGCTCACTTGGGACCACGGTACCAGTACGATTTTTAGTCATTTCACTGCTTTCTATCAGCTACCAGCCCTCACGGAACTGTCAACTCATTCGCAATCACGAATTTCTTCAATTACTAAAAAAAATTTTTTTTTTTTATTTTAACAAACTTCTTTAATAAAAAAAATTTTAATTTTATTTTTAGCGGACCACCAGCTCCCCTTGGACCCGACGGTCGCGTCGTAGACACCCCCGAGGTCCAAGCCGCTAAAGCTCACCACTTCGCTCTTTTCAACGCTGCCGCTCACTCTGCTCCCGCTGGTCCAGCTCACGCCGCTCCAGCTTACCCCGCTCACGCGGATTACGACTCAGGAGCTTACAACCCCGCGTGGGACAGTCCCGCCTGGAACCACTATTAATTAATTAATTAATTAATTAATTAATTAATCAATTAATTCACACAACTCATAATTAACGGATTGACTACTGGATTTTGTATTGACTGTTTTATTTAAAACTCTACCTCACCGAAAGTGAATAACATCCGTCGCTTTTAAAAGCTTTTGATCTTTTGCTCATATATTTTATATATAACATTAAATATGACCCTGAAGTTAGCTTAAAAATTTTTTTGATTTTTTTTTCAATAAGAATAAGATAAATCTTACTTATAATTTATAAAAAAAACCAAAAAATTTTTTTACAATTAACTAACTGCAGGATCATGTTAATAAAACTTATCAATATGCACAAAAATAGAGCACTGCCAAAATTGATGCATTTATTTAACACAGAGTGATAATTTTGTTACGTATGATTGGACACTATACTATATTATTGTATTTTATTTTATATAAATTTTTATTAAACAAAGAGTAAATAAATTATTACTTGTTAAACACGAGTTGAGTTATTTTATTATAGTATATATTATTAAATATTAAATGGAAATTATTACGTGATTGAACAGAAATGAGCAATGATTGCTATTACAGATACAGATATTTGATATTTGATTTGTGATCGGCTGATAATGAATTTATTTATTCATTTTTTCAACTACGGGTCATTAATTTTGATCTAACACACTAAGGCAACCGGTTTTGATTTATATATAGTTAAATGTTTAACAGACGTGTCGACAAGGCCGTGGCTGGTGAAGCATTAAAGAATTTATTTATGTTTATCTTTATGCATTAAAAGAAAGAGGAAGTTGGGTAAATAAATCATAATATGAGTCCTTCCGTGATATAATAGATTATATTCAATACTTAAAAGTTTTCTTTTATTTATTTATTATTATATTTCTTCCGTAACTGTTGCGTTTAAAGTAAACTGGGTTTATAAATATACGTAATACACATTTATTATTTTGTATTTTTATTTATAGATTAAACGTGGAAAAATTTTATTACAGTGAAAATATGATTGCTAATTTTAATAATTAATGTAATTAAAAAATTTTATAGATTGAAGAATATAATAAAGATATTTATAATTATTAATTAAGATGAAGGCTGGTTACGGATGATGAAAGAGACTTTTAGCGTGGGCTAAGGCATGCAAATGGGCATCCCGAGCCTTGGCGACTTCCGGAGTGTCAATTACTCGCCCGTCATGGGCCAGAGGAGCAGGTGGTCCGTGGTAGGAAAACGGAACGTGGTGAAATGACTTTACCAGGGCAGATTCTTCATGTTCGTGGTGGTGCTCCTGGTGATGATGATGGTAATCATGATGGTCGCCAGATTTGGCTGCTAGAGCTTTCGCGTGTTCTAGAGCTGCGAGGTGAGCGGCTTTTGCTCGGGCGACCTGGGGGATAATTTTATGTTAAAGTGAATAGAATGAAGAAAATGTCTCTGGTTTGATTATATAATAAAATTGATTTTTTTAGTTTAATTTAGTGGCATTAGAAAGGCTTTGACCTGAATTTGTGCCTTTTTAAAGTTTTATATAATTTTAGATGATAATTTATTATGTTTTCAAAGCTATTATAAATAGATTAAAATTTCAAGCTAGATAAATTTTGTTTTGTACGGATTAATATAATTATGTGCCAAATATTAATTCATATAATTAAGAAAATAAGCAAAATTTCCTAACAGGCATATTTTTACTAAAAATGAGTTTTTACAGTGAAATTTTGTACCATCGAAAAAATTTATGTCTTTTCACGGTTTGATATTTTTTCGGCAGTAGTCAATTTATCATCTAAATAATTAAGAGAATAATAAAAATTTTGTGACGGGCATATTTTTATTTTGAAAGTAATTTTTATAGTTAAATTTTGTATCATCAGAAAGTTCTTGACGTGAATTTGTGTCTTTTCACAATTTTATTTATTTTTTGTAATTGTCAATTTTTTATGTAAAATTTTTGGATGAGTTTTGAATACTTTGTTCAATAAATTTATTCCGTAAAATTTTTTTTTAAATTAATGATTATTGATCCTGCAATAGCAATATTATTTAAAATTCCTTGAAAAGTACCCAAGCTATTTATATTTCTATTAAAATATTAAAAAATCGTTAAGCCAAAATTTTTTAACAATTTTTAATTATCGGTAGTCATATAGTCACTTTAGGTTACCTTACTTCCAGTTTTTAATCATAAATGTAAAATTACCACTAATAATTTGTGATTATAATAAATTCTCTCTTGCAAAAGTCTATTAAAAATCAATCAAGATCAAAAATTCCAATAATAAATCCTTGAACTAAAATAAACTATCAACATATTTACATAATTTCTTCTAAGTACTACTTTCTTCTAACCCAATCTCTAAATCAATTCCTTAGACTTTTATCTGAATTCCGTAACAGGGAATGACTTGAAGAAAATAAATTTTTCAGAGTACCAACATGTTACCCAACCGCAATATCTCTACAACAAAATCCAAAAAAAAAAAGTGAAATACCTCGTCAGTATCAACAACTCGGCCGTCATGTCCCAGCGGCGCAGGTGGTCCATGATAGACCGGAAAATGATCATGATGCTCATGATGGTCATGATGCTCATAATGTCCATGATGACCATCTCCATACCCGATTTCGTTACTTGCTACTTCGTCTACTTCATCCTTGTAAGCGTCTGTCCATTCATCCGGTTCGGAGGGCAATTTGGAAGCGATGTGATGATAGGCCGCGAAATGGGCTGCTTTCGCGTGAGCGACCTCCGGGGTGTCAACCACTTTTCCGTCTTTTGACAGTGGGGCTGGAGGGCCGTGATAAGTGGGTCCTAAATCGTAGGTCGCTTTCGCGAGCGTTACTTCAACGATAAATGCGAATATCACCGCCTAGAAAAATCAAAAATTAATTATAAATTATCTATATTATTAAAAGAATAAGCAAAATTTTGTGACCAGTGTATTTATATGATAAAATGGGTTTTTATGGTTAAATTTAGTATCGTTGGAAAAGTCTTGACCTGGAGTTGTGCCTTTTCAAGGTTTCATATAATTTGCACCAATAGTCAATTTATAATGATAAGTATTTAGGCTGCACTTGAAAATGCTCTATCTCTCGATATATAGTTAAGAAATGACTTTGTATCTTGTGAACTGTTAACATTTTTAAAGATATAAGCTCATCCCGATGTTACACTCATCAAGACCTTTCATTTGAGTACCCACATCAATTTTTCATATATTCATATATATTATATATATGAAAAATATATGAAAATGCATGTGGGTACTCAAATGAAAGCTCTTGATGAGTGTAACATCGGGATGAGCTTAAATCTTTAAAATCGTCAATAGTTAAGAAATGACATTGTATCTTGTCAACTATTGACATTTTTGAAGATATATAAGCTCACCCCGATGTTACACTCATCAAGACTTTTTATCTAAATACCCACATCAATTTTTCATATATTTTATATATTTCTATATATTATATATATGTATATATGAAAAATATATCAAAATGCATGTAGGTACTCAAATGAAAGCTTTTGATGAGCATAACATCAGGATGAGCTTATATCTTTAAAATCGTCAATAGTTAAGAAAATACAAGGCATTTTAACAAATATCTTGTGAAATATTGATATTTTTAAACATATAAGCTCATCTTGATGTTACACTCATCAAGACCTTTCATTTAAGTACCTACATCAATTTTTCATATATTTATATATATTATATATATGTACATATATGTATATATGAAAAATATACTTTTGATGAGCATAACATCAGGATGAGCTTATATCTTTAAAATCGTCAATAGTTAAGAAAATACAAGGCATTTTAACAAATATCTTGTGAAATATTGATATTTTTAAACATATAAGCTCATCTTGATGTTACACTCATCAAGACCTTTCATTTAAGTACCTACATCAATTTTTCATATATTTATATATATTATATATATGTATATATGAAAAATATATCAAAATACATGTGGGTACTCAAATGAAAGCTCTTGATGAGTGTAACATCAGGATGAGCTTATATCTTTAAAAACGTCAATAGTTAAAAAATTATAGTACAATTTAACAAAAGCAATTATTTAATAAAGCAAAATTTTATGTATTTATAGTTCACAAGTCACAGCAGTCACATAGTGACTGCAAGGTTGCTAGTTTATTATTAATTATCAATAACTAAATTTTTAAATTGATAAATTTCGAATGATTTTCAACACTTACGAGCAAACGCATGGTTAAAGTTAGTTGAATAATAAAAATATAAATAACTAATTAAACAAACAAACAGTAATAGTGAACCGTGGAGTGAGAATGCACTAACAATTGCATTCGCGATGCTTTTATATCGTCTTGTCAGTGGTCACTGGCTGATGGTCACCCATGTATGGATTACTGGCGCACCCCCATCAATACTCACCTCTAATTACTCGTCTACTTTAATTACCTTTAACTGGTTATTTTTCACGTGCATAGACATTGCGATCACGTCAGTGCTCATTAGTACTCATGCGCTTTTAAAAATTCATGCTTTTTCCTGCGTGATAACGTTAACAGTGAATGTGGATAGTGATACGATTGCGTATGCAATAACATTTTAATTAATATATTGAGTATATATGATTTATGTGTACACACCATGGCTTTTTTAATTATTATTACATTACATTGCATAAAATGAACAGGTCATTACAGTCACAGATTGACGCGGAGAAAATTAATAACGACTTATTGGTTCTTATTTTTATTTTTTGGTTCGATTTTTAGTTGCACTTGTCGCATTTTGCTTACTATTTACAATCTAGTCGCATAAAATGTTTGTAATTTAAGTAAGTAATGCTGGTTTTAATTACGGAAGCTGTACTTTTGAATTTTATGACTTTATATGGCTCATTAAGTTTGGAAATTTTTAAGACATTAAATTTATAAATACTTTAATTATTAACTTGCAACCTAAAGTGAGCATGACGGCCGATAGTTAAAAATTGGGGATAAAAATTTTGACAATGATTTTTTGATAAAAATATATATAATTTGGGTTCTTTTTAAGCAATTTTAAAAATAATATTGCTATTGCAGGATCAATAATCAATAAGATAAAAGAAAATTTTACAGAATAAATTTATCGAACAAACTATTCAAAACTTATCCAATAATTTTACATAAAAAATTGACTCTTACAAAAAATAAATAAAATCGTGAAAAGACACAAATTCACGTCAAAAACTTTCTAATAATACAAAATTTAACTATAAAAATTACTTTTAAAATAAAAATATGCCCGTCACAAAATTTTTTTTATTTTCTTAATTATTTAGATTATAAATTGACTACACAGAAAAAAAAATTAACTTGATTCAAGAGAAAAATTCTTGAACCAAGAATATAATTTTGAAGAGGGTAATTGTCTTGAATCAAGACGAAAAATTCTTGAATTAAGTAAAATTTCTTTAAATCAAAAAAAAATTCCCTTAAATCAAGAATTTTTATACTCAAATCAAGAATATTAAATTCTTTAAAATTATATACTTGATTCAAGAAATTTTTTTTTCTGTGTATTGCCGAACAATATCACACTGTGAAAAGACATAAATTCAGGTTACGACTTTTTCGATGGTACTAAATTTCAATATATAAACTCATTTGTAGTAAAAATATGCTTGTTAGAAAATTTTGCTTATTTTCTTAATTATATGAATTAATATTTGGCATATAATTAAATTAACATGTATGGAACAAAATAAATAAACACATTTTATCTAGCTTGAAATTTTAATCTATTTATAACTACTTTGAAAACCTATAATAAATTAACTATCACCGAAAATTTTGTGAAACCTTGAAAAGCTGCAAATTTAGACCAAGACCAGAACCTTTCCAATGATATTGAATCAAACCTAAAAAATCCATTATAAAAAATAAAAAAATAATTTCTTGTAATTAAAATTCAGTAAATGCAAAAAGAAGAATAATATCCAAGTTAGTATTATATTTGTTAGAGGCAGAGGGTCCTGACCTTTTATTATTTTACCCAGACTTAAATGAGCGGAGTTTAAACAACTCAACAAATCATGATCCTCCATCTGTTAGTTCACAGTACCTATATATGTGCAATATGTATATATGTAATGCATCTGGCCTCTATTATAGTTTCTAGTTTTGTAGCGCACCGTCTTGAGCCTTAAACTTAGTCTCGAGTTAAGTTGTGTTGTTTAATGTTGCTCTTAAACTCTTTCATAGTTTAGACTCTATTCTGTACAGAAACTCAAGTTAGTAATATACATTTAAGTTCTGTACGGTTGAGTGCCGGCGTACCTTCTCACGTCCTCACCGTGACCTATGTCGCAATCGCCAATTCTCTATCTTCCTACGTATGATTGTATGATCTCTTCTTCTCGTGTTCTGTTTTGTTATTATCGCTAATCTGGGAATTTAACAGTGAATCATAGTTTTTATTTTCGGTGCAAAACTCCACGGTAATTCTTGATTGAATTATTAAAAAAAAAAACAACAATGGCTCATTAAATATTTAACGATTCACTTTTATTTCAATAATATACTTAAACTGTAAGCTATGTTTATTTAAACTAGACAATAAATAAATAAATAATAAATAGTGTGCATTAATAAGTGAGTTGTGAAAAAAAAATATTTATTGAATAATTGTTACGTTATTATTGGCATGCTAGAGTTAACATTATTGTTCACAGCTAGACCGCAACAGTACTTTAAGGCAATACTTTACTTTCTTTTTTTGTACTAAACTTGTATATAAATTTATAAGTATTAATTTTTTTTATATTTGCATTTATTTAATGTCTACGCAATATGAATATCCATCCACATACTTTACTTTTTGCAGTAAAATATTTTTTTTTAATTATTCGTGTTACCAAATATAAATATAAATAGTAATAATAATTGTTATTATGATGAAAATAAATATTACTCAAGTGTTTTTGGTTGAATGAGTTGAAAAATTAACTCGGTCATGCTTCTGAATAATTTTACTATTTTGCCTTTTTTATTGGTATGTGTAACTATTTAGACAAGTAGGTCATGTTACCAACAACTTCTATTGATATTTTTTTAAATAGAAATCATTTTTTTCTTTTTAGGACAATCCGGGGGAAATTATATTTTTTTTCAGGAAAATAATGTTTATTTATTTGGACAATTTTATTATTGTAATTGATATTTGATTAATTGAAAAATTAAACTGTTTTGAATACACGCGAAGAACTTAATGAATAAGATAATTTTTTATGAAATTGTAACTTTTTTATTAAAAAAATGTAAGACTATTTTTAAATAATTTTTGGAATCAAATTATAATTTAGATAGAAAATTAAGTCACTAACTAAATTATGATTCATGATATTGAAATTACCATTTGGCTATTTTTGGTTTAATTAAAAAAATAAATTATTACTAAGAAAATAAAAAACTTAAATTCTTAGTTTCTTTTCAAATTTTTTCTTGTGGTATTTTTTAGAAATTTTCTTTACAATTAATTATAAAAAAGATTTTAAAACAACTCAAATTTTTGTTTATTTCAATATCATAATAAATTACCCTTACTAAAAAAAATTTATTCTTTTAATTAGGAATGTATAAAGTACTAGCTCTTTAATATTTGTCACATTTAATTAATATTTTTTAAATTGTTATTTAATATACAAGTAATTTATAGAAAACAAATTAATTTAGCTCGATAATTGAATACTTACTATTTCCTTAAATGTTTTATGATTTTAATTCCTATTATACATTTCGTGCATTGATAAAAAAATTAATTTGGTTCAACCGATAAAATCTTGTTAAATAAAAATTAAATTATTTTAAATGAATCAAATTAAAAAATTTCATTTGATTGAAGAATTTTATTTGATTCAAAATAATCAAACTTTTCCAAAACTTTTCTTGAAAATTTTTTTTTTCAAACCAACTTAATTTTTTCAGCCGGGGAGTAATTAATTAAATAAAAACAAATAAACTAAATGATTATACTGTAGAAAAAGACAAATTTATTGGCCTAAATTATGTACACGGCGAGAGTATTACTTAACAACATAAATTTAGATAGTCCATTTTAGTAAGATCCTATGAGCTGTTGAGATTGATATAATTTCGAGTTGTAAGACGGAGCCTGCTGGTATCCAACTTTTCCGTAGGGAGAGTAAGCTGGCTGCGCGGGGTAAGCTGAGTTGTATTGAACCTGAGCCGGTGCTCCGTGTCCTGCATGTCCAGCGTTGAATCCTAAAAAAATTTACAATTTTATAAAAAATTTTCTAATTTCTAATTTTATAAAAAAAAAAAAAAGAAAAAACAAACCTTGCTCATCATAATTATCTCCAGCGTATTTAGCAGCTCTGGCTTCAGCATCAGCGAGTTCAGCTAACCTAGCGGCCTTCAGAGCAGCTACCTCGGGAGTGTCGATGACAGTTCCGTCTTTAGCCAAAGGAGCAGGCTGGAAGTGAGCCTTGGGTGCGACAGGACCCGCAAAATGGTGAGGAGCCGGCTGGTGGTTGTAGCTCGCGGGTTCTGGGTTGAAGTGCGGCTCAGCATTGTGGTAGTGGGGCTCTGAGACCGGGTAATGCGAGGAGGCCAATCTGTAGCTGGGAAGAGGAGCTGGTGCGGAGTGGACTGGAGCTGGAGCTGGAGCGTAGTGGACAGGAGCTGGAGCGCGGTGGACTGGAGCGGGTGATTCGTATTGCTGGTAATGAGGGTGAGAGTCCAAGGGTTCCTTTTCCTGGGAGGCAGCAGCGCGGGCCTTAGCTTTCGCGAATTCTTCGAAATGTGCGGCCTTAGCTTGGGCGACTTCCGGGGTATCGATCACATTACCGTCGTGTCCGACTGGTGCTGGAGGAGCGAAGCGCTGGTTGTGGATCGGTTGAGGCTGATGCGCGTATTCTTGATGTCCTAGTCCGTAATCTTGGGGGCCGAATTTTTGAGGCCCGAATTCTTGGTAAGCCGCTTGGCTGGCTAGCGCCATTGATAGGACAATCTTTAATTAAATTACACAATTAGATTAATTTATTTAATTACAATTTTTATTAAATTTATTTTAAAAAAAATAAAAAAAAAAAAAACATTAAATTAATTATTAATTTTTTGTTAATAAAAAAAAATTTTGAACATACCAAAAATTTGTTCATGATGATTTATATAAAAATAATAAACGTAATTAATAAATGAAAAAATATAAGCGCTGCTGGAGCTCCAGTACTCGCTGTCCTCACGCTGAAAGCTGCGTGGTGTTAGTCTTCCTGGTGAACGTATGGCATCGACTTATATAGTTCTCTCTGGTGAGTCTTTCTCCCCGCTACGAAGATAGGAGGCAAGAGGCGGTGTGCAGCTCCCCCTTGGCACTCTATAGCGGCTTCAACCTCCAAGGCGATACGATATACGATGACGAAGGTGAAAAGGAGCAGGGCACTTACAACTGGTGTAAGTGACTAGGTCCCGCGACCAAGATCGCGCACGAGTACTTGCTCAGATATCTATCTATCTCTCTGTGTATAGTATAATGATAATAATAATAATAATAATAATAAAGTATTAACAAGAGAGATAAGACAGTGGCGATCTGATGGCCACACCCGTTCACTCGACACCGCTTTTGTCATTACTCAAGGATCGGTATCACGACCTTGACATTTGAAAGAAGAAACCCTCGGTCGGGCAATGCCATTGGTCATCTTTTATCTCGTGTCCTTTGGTGCTTTATTTTTATTTTTATATTTATGGGGATCGTGATCATTTTTTACTCGAGCAATTTATGTCTTATTTTGAATTATTCTAATAAATTAATCAATAAATAATAATTGAAATTGATAAATAATGTTTTACCTGAGAACTTTATACATTTTTTTAATGTAATCACTTTTTTTTTTTGTGAAGAAATTTCAATTTTTATGGCAATTAGAAGACAAATTTTCATATAAAAAATTAATGTTCCAATTAAATAATTATAAATCAACATAATTTAAAGTATGTACTGCTAAAAAAGTATTTTTTATCTACATATTTTATAAATGATTAACTTTTTAAATTTTTTTTAATTTTACTTTTAATAATATAAATTAATTAATAATTTAAAGAGTTAAAAAATAAACTTTTTATAAAATTTAAATTACAAAAATTTTATTGGTAATTTAAGAAATAAAAAAATAATTGAATAAAATAAAAAGAGACATAATTAATATAAAAATATATTATATTCAAAAAGTTTGATTAATTTTCTAATTTAATAAAAAATCAAATTTACTAATTACAGAAGAAAAATTTCTTGTAAAGAGATAATTTTACAAACGTAAACATTGATTTAGAAAAAATTACATAACAGTACTTTTATTATACACCTGATAGAAGAATTTCTTATTATTTAAGAAGATTTCTATGTATTTAAGGAATCATTTTTTAAACATCATTTCTTAGTATTTAAAAATTATTTCTTAGTATTTAAGAAATATTCCTTAAATACTAAGAAATAATGTTTAAGAAATGATTTCTTTTTTTTTTTTTTTTTTACTTTAATTTTGTTTTAAAGTCGTCATAAACTACTAAGGTCATGAGCGACTACGGTAGGGGGTAAACGTTTTGAGATTGGAACTCGTTTTATTTCTTGGGCTGAGCAGTATAATACACTTAAATATTGAGAAAATATACATTGGTGTACGCCGGACTCGAACCCGGTCCAACTGCTTTGGTAAGCAAGGGCCGGGATCCGATAGGCTACTGCGCGCCAAATGATTTCTTACATACAAAAAAAATACTTCTTAAAATTGCTAAGAAATCCTTCTATCAGTGTACTAATCACTTTCGTACAAAGATAATTAAGAAAAAATTACATAACAGTACTTTTATTATACACCTGATAGTAAGAATTTCTTATTTATTTAAGAAGATTTCTATGTATTTAAGGAATCATTTTTTAAACATCATTTCTTAGTATTTAAAAATTATTTCTTAGTATTTAAGAAATATTCCTTAAATACTAAGAAATAATGTTTAAGAAATGATTTCTTTTTTTTTTTTTTTTTCTTAATTTGTTTAAAGTCGCATAAACTACTAAGGTCATGAGCGACTACGGTAGGGGGTAAACTTTTGAGATTGGAACTCGTTTTATTTCTTGGGCTGAGCAGTATAATACACTTAAATATTGAGAAAATATACATTGGTGTACGCCGGACTCGAACCCGGTCCAATGCTTTGGTAAGCAAGGGCCGGATCCGATAGGCTACTGCGCGCCAAATGATTTCTTACATACAAAAAAATCTTCTTAAATGCTAAGAAATCCTTCTATCAGTGTACTAATCACTTTCGTACAAAGATAATTAATATTTCAAATGTTGAATACCGTAAAATAATTCAAAAAATTTTTTAAAGTTGATCAATCAGGAATTAATCTTCAAAATAAATTGACCAATGAAAAAAAAATTAGTTACAATTACATTAGGAATTTCAGCGGAAAAATTAATAGAATTGGCTGAGATAACTAGTGTTTGTTGAGTCGAAGACAAGAAAGTGATACCGATGTCGCAACATATTTGATCTTGTCCCGTCATAGTCAGAGTAGAGGAACGTGACATGGCTCTAGACCAGGTATAGGGATAGGAATAGGATAAAAATGCAGTGGGTGGGAGTGAAATAACAGCGTAGTCTAGTCGGCGATAGAATCGACTGATAATCTCTCGATGACCTGCTGTTGCTGCTGCCGTATGAGTACCGGTGCTTGACAAATGGATCATGACACTACGGGAGTATGAGAGCCGTGGCTACTGCTTGCACCATACTCAGGCCGAGTCAATTAGGTCGCACAATAGATCCGTTGTCACGGCCTTGAGTATTAGATTTTAAATCACTATCATACTTATAATCACTAATATAAGTATCCTTCATCAAATGACTGCTGTTATGTGAGTTTTACTCCCACTATTTTATTTCATATTAATATTTCATTATTTTGTTCAATTATTTACTTCATAATATAAACACATACCGTATCATTGTTTTATTTTATTACTTTTAAATCACTGGTTTGTTTTTACGGGCATTTATTTAACGAGCTTATTAAATTTAATGCTTTAATTTATTCATTATTTTTTCGTTTCATTAAATCTCGATAATTGCTTGTTTTATTACAGTAATTGATTGTTACTCGCTGTCATTTATTTTTCGTGAGTGAATATTTATTGATAATGAATAAAAAATTTTTTTCTAATTAATAAAGTTTTTTTTTTTCATTAAAATGTTTATTTTTGTTTCGTATTGTAGACTGTAAGAGTAATTGTCTGTTTTTATTAAAGAAATATCTTGTCTATAAACTGTTATAGAATATTTTTATAATTTCTTAATCGGATTGTGAGATTGAATTATTGTAATATGAAAACATTGCATAATTATTATTTTCGAGAAAGTTATGGTTATGAGGGCTTTAATGAACAAAGCCGCTTTTAAATTCCGAGCTGATCGATCGAGTTGCATTTTTAAAATGTTATACCTGAATAATATACTTTAAATTTAAATGTTTTAATAGATCTTTAATAATGTTCAGTTTGTTGGATAAATCAATATGACAGAAGAATAATAAAATCGATTTTTAAAAATATTTTTTTTTGAATTTTTGTCAAAAATGAAAATACTTATACTTGTATTTATAATTTTAAGAATAATTAATCTTTATTTTAGCGAAAATTTTTATTTACTCTTTTAATTTAATAAAGAAAATTCAATTTTTGAATAATTTTAAATTTTATGAAAAAAGGAAAAAATTACATTTTTTACGTTTTATAAATTAGTAAAATTGCAATTGGATTCGTCTTATTGATAAATAATGATCAAGCGAAATTAATTGTGCAATTATCATATTTATGAAAATTAATTTAGCAGATATTTGATAATTTTAAGAATTGACAAAAAAATTGACATGTAGAAATTTAGAAAAATAAAAAATGCAATCTTTTTAAAATAATTTTTTGAAAAAAATCCAATTGTTAGAAAAAATTGAAAAATGGTTAAGTAACTGCTAACTTCAATGTCATAAACTTATTTATGAACTACAAAAGAAAAAATGAAATTTTAGCTTTTTAATATTATAAAATATTTAAATTTGAATAAATTGAGCCTTAAAGACGTGCATAAATATAAATTCTACGATTAATGTGGGTAGTAAAAAAAAATAAATAAATAATTTTTAGTTGAAAATTTTCAAAAATAAACAATTTGAACGCCAAAGCCTCAAGATTAGATAAAAATTGCATTTTTTCAAATTTAACTGAAGTTATAAAATTTTTTTTTGTTTGTATTTATTTTTAATAAAAAATTGAAATTTTGATCTACAAAAAAATAAAAAAAATCTTTTTTTTTTTTTCAAAATTAAATTCTGCGTTGAATAAAATATCGCTCATATTTTTTTGCCACAATTCTATCTAAGTTTCACAACTCCAAACAGAGGAAATAAAATTTTTAATAATAAATAATAATAATTGAAAATTAATTTTTTTTATTGACAGTAAATTGTACAGAGCAACATTTAAGTTACGTTAATTTAATAATGATTAATTTCAAACATAGTAATGAACAACAGGACTCGGAGCAATATAAGAGTAAGAGTAAGTAGGAATGATAGCTTCCTTGGCAGCGTGGTTGAGTCTTTCATTGATATGAGCAGCAGCGTGCTCAGCCCTCGCGAGAGCTACTTCAGGAGTTTCGAGAACGCGGCCATCGAGCCCAATTGGTGCTCCAGGTTGGAGTTTCGCGAGCTTGTAGGTCAAGATGTTTGAATCGGCGCTGTGGGATTCCAATTGTTCATTTAAGTGAGCAGCAGCGTGTTCTGCCTTTGCCAACGCTACTTCGGGGGTGTCAACGACGCGTCCGTCTACTCCGACAGGAGCTCCTCCAGACACGTCGATTTTTGCTACTGGAACTGCAACAGGACTTTGAGCAGAAACGTGGTTCAATCTTTCGTTCAAATGCGCTGCTGCGTGTTCTGCTTTTGCAAATGCGACTTCCGGAGTGTCCACCACCTTGCCATCGAGGCCGATTTGCGCACCAGGTCTTAGTTCGACCAATGCAGGGCTCAGGAATAAAGCCGAGGGCTTTGCCACTGCGGCTCCGATTAATGAGACAATTAAAATCTGGAAAAATTTATTTGTAAAATTTTTAATAAAAATAAGTCATTAAAAAATGATAATAATAATAAAAAAATAAAATCTTACAATTTTGTTCATGATTAATAAATATAAAGGTTTTCTTAAGCGCTGCTGAAGATTCTCAGTACTCGCTAAGACAACTGTTCCCAAATGTTTGACATCCAGCTCTTTATATACTACTGGACTATAATATAATCCTCCAGACAACAGATCGGATGAAAATTAACTCAAATACCATCACCACGCCCTGTTCAACAAACCTGATACTGTCATTGAAAATTTTTTACCCGCAGGCATTATGTGTACTCTCTGTATTCTCTATATATACCTCGGAATCGAATATAAAATAAACACAATATACAAAGATTGCCCTTGATAAATTTCCAGCATCCCGCATCCGTAAATGGATATCGGAATATTTAATATTTTTATTTGTTTTATTTAAATCCGGTCAATGGGTGCAACTCCGCCTGCAATCGTGCTAATTATCTGGTGATTTAAAAGCACTTACGATTAAAACAAGTTCAACAAAATTTCAACAAACTATCACATTCTATATTTGATTCAATTTAATTATATCAATTTATTTTTCATTAGTACTTATTGCTTAAATTTATTGCACGCCTCATAAGCGAAGTGTAGTTTGTATATTTATTTTTTTATTTATATCGCACTTACAGGTTAATCTGAGTGTACTAATATCAAGTCAAATAATTTGTCAGACGCGTAAAATATATTTCAACAAATGAAAACGAAGTTAGCTGACATTTCAAAATTTTTAGAAATTTTTTATCGAAAAAATTTCAATTAAACAATTAAAAAAAAATATATCACACGTTAAAAACTTGAAAAACTATGAGTGCAATTTTTTATAAATATCTTTTTAGTTGTAATTTATTAAAAAAAAAAAAAAACTACAAAAATTTTAAGTACGTACTGCTAACTTACAGTGTCATTTCAATAACAATTATTACTGTGTATTTTTTGTTACATCTATCTATACATTTTATTATAGTTTTTTTTCCTCACCTATTTCAACAAATGAAAACGAAGTTAGCTGACATTTCAAAATTTTTAGAAATTTTTTATCGAAAAAATTTCAATTAAACAATTAAAAAAAAATATATCACACGTTAAAAACTTGAAAAACTATGAGTGCAATTTTTTATAAATATCTTTTTAGTTGTAATTTAATTAAAAAAAAAAAAAAAAATCAAAAATTTTTAGACGTCTGCTAACTTCAGTGTCATTTCAATAACAATTATTACTGTGTATTTTTTTGTACATCTATCTATACATTTTATTATAGTTTTTTTTCCTCACCTTAGAATCATGGCGCTACTAAACCATGGTTTTCTGTTTTTTATTATTTTGCTTTATATATTTTATTTTAATCAATTTCATTGCGAAAAATTAGATAATAAGGCGTGCACTTTTGGATTTTCCAAACTTTTTTATTTTACAGTCGGTAAAATTTACCTATTTAAAAAATTGTCATCATTTTAAAAAAAAAAATTTTTTTAATTATTATTATTTTTGTCGTTACTGTAAAAAAAAAATAATAATTCATATTTTTATAAATAAAAATAAATTAATCATCTATTTTAAAATTCGTAACTTGAGTAATAGCCTTGAGTAAACGGATCAGGAAATCTAACCGTTTTAAAATAATATAAAATAATTTAATACCCGAGTATTGTATCAACTTACGATTAAAAAAGTAAAAAAAATTAGCTGAATAACAAACAAGCCTCTTCCTATATAAAGCTCGTGGACAATAAGCAATCGCTCAATAGTACTAAACACTAAGAATAAGCAAAATAGTAGAATATCTCGCAACAATTCGAGTATGATCCGCAAGTTTAGTCTGTTAATACTTTTGGTGGGTTGTCTAAGTGTCACATCTGCCCAGTCTCTGTATTTACAAGAGCCTAATCATCATCAGAGATCTCACAGTAACAACATCAACAGCAATAACAATAACAGAGATCCATTGGTATCATCAACACCAGAAAGCCCCAAGGAGCCTGAGGGAGTGTCAGTTCCCGCGAGCGAAGACTCTACTCGCGCTTTCACGGCAAGTGTACACGGACACCAGGTTAATAACGTACCCACCTACCCTGGAGCTCCCATCGGTCCAGATGGCCGGGTTATTGACACACAAGACGTTACCGTCGCAAAAGCAAAACACGCCGCGGCTTACATCAATCAGAAGGTCAACTTGGCACGAGAGGCTGCAAGGAGTAATGCTGGTACTTATTTTGTTGCAATTGCACGGCCAAATCCGATTTTAGCTTACAACACTGTTTTGTATTGAGGATTATTATTATTGCTTGTACTTTGTGGGTAATTGAACAACATCGATGTCAAAAATTATAGGAGTGAAATTTTTTACTGATATTTTACGTAATCTTATGTGAAATAATTGCGGTTAAAATTTTAATTAAATTTTAAATTTAAAGTTTTATTTTTTATTGAAAAATTTTTCTTTTAAATTTCAAATTCAAAAATTTTTTTTAAATTAATTAATTAATTGATTATTAATTTTTTTAATTATTAAATTAATTAAATTTTTTTTTAATTAATTAATTTTAAAGAATCATCTATTGAATTTTAGACTATGAAATTTTTTTTATTAAATTTTTGATTTAAAATTTTTTCTATAAATAAATTTTTGATAAATTATAAATTAAAAAAATTTTTTAAAATAAATAATTAATAATTTTAAATAAAACACTTCTATAATTAACCGTCCATTAATGATAAATTTTTCTTAGTGTAAAATAATCACTTAAACTTAAATTACCAATTAAAAATAATATAATAAATGTTGCTTTTAATTGTAGCTTAAAAATAAATAAAATTACACGAACATAAATAAAATTTTTTTTCCCTTTATCTTGATTTTTCAACCTTGGCGGTGGTGGCCGTTTGTCCTTAAATTTAAAAAATCGAACCCGAGTGTAGACAATGCTCGGCCTTGCGATAAACAACCTGTTCTGGAGTTAATCATTTGCTGAATATAAAAATATAAGTACGAGGAAGAAAAAATAAGAATAATAAGCGGACAAAGAAGCTGAGGGTATATAAACCCTCGGATATCAAGTTCGAGGGCACTCGAGTGAAAGACACCCGACATTTAAGTGTATAAGATAAGACGCATTTCTGACAATGTTTGTGTATCTAATAGCTTTGTGTTTGGTATCAGGTGGGCTTGCCAAGTCCCCCGAGGTCTTGTTGGAGTACCAGGACAGTTTGGGCCAGTACAGCTTTGGGTACAGCGCCCCAGGCTCCGCGAGATCTGAAGTTGGAGCAGCGGACGGATCAACCCGAGGGGCCTTCAGCTACGTTGACGGCTCCGGAGTTATTCAGACCGCCAAGTACACCGCTGACGGGGAAAATGGCTTCAGGATTGAGGCCAGCAATCTCCCCGTGGCCCCCAGGCCTGTCGAGGAGACTCCCGAGGTCCAGGCTGCCAGGATCGAACACTTCAGGGCTTACGAGGAGGCCAAGAAAAATTTAATCGCTGCTGGAAGTCTGATGCCCGATCAAAGTACTGGCGAGAATCAAGACAAAATTATTGAAAAGGAAAACAAGAAAGATGAAATTAAGGAGGAAAAGAAAAGTGAAAAGGAAGAGAAGAAAGAGTCGTTGATGATGGCCAAATTGAAGGTATAAGTTTTTTTTTGTTTTTTGGAATGATTGATTTTAAATTTGAGTGAAGTTGAAATGATATTTTGAGTAGCAAAAATTGTGAAAAATTAGTAGCTTTTGTGGTTATTATTTACAAGTAGGGTCAACTCATACTAGCCCATATTAAATTTTTTTTTTTGATCAATTTTTTCTTTTAAATTTTTTGTTTTTTTTTTTTTATGAAAATGAAGTTAGCCGACATTTAAAAATTTATAGAAATTTTTTATTGAAATAATTTCAATTGAACAATTAAAAAAAAAAAATTCACATGTAAAAAACTTGAAAAACTATAAGTGTAATTTTTTAGAAATACCTTTTTAGTTGTAATTTAATTAATAGAAAAAATTAAAAATTTTTAAACGTCTGCTAACTTTAGTGTCATTTTTTTTTATGTACTTTTCAAAAAAAAAATATATCAAAAAAAAGATAAAATAGAAATTTTATCCAAAAACATGAGATCCAAAATTTTTTCTTACTTTTAAAGGCAAAAAAACCTATCGAAATCTTTATTTTTTCCTTTCACGACATTTTTTATAATAAATGCGCCGTAGAAACAAGCAGAATAAAAAAGCTTTGAAAATTAAAATTTTTCACCTAGTTATGGCCCAAAATAGGGTTGACTCCACTTGTAAATAATTACCGCTTTTGTTATGAACGGTAAGAAAATTTTTTTAATTTGAGACATTTCAACTGTATGATTAATCAACTTAGATTACTATTATTATAAATTTTTGGACTGGTACTATAACTTGAAAAGTAATAGTTTAAAAAGTTATAGTTATAATTATTAAATTAAATATGTTAGTATTGAATAAAAAGAGAAATGTTTGAGATTACCAAAAAATTAAAAAAATTGTCAATTAATTCTAAGAATGATTAAAAAAGTTCTTAAAAATACCAAAAAATTTTAGTAATCATCAAAAAATTTCTAATTAACTCCAGAAACACATTTCAGATTACTAAAAATATTATTGTTATTCATTGAAAATAGCTCTTTACTATATCTAAATGATCAAATTAAAGACTGTCAATTAAAATTTCAAAATTTTCTTTAATTTTATCATGAAAATATTAATAAAAATTTTTTTTTAATAAATGAAGGAATCAATACTTAATTTTTTTAATTCATGGTTTTACCACAAAGCTTCAGGAAACATCTGACAAATATCAAATTACAATTTTTAACTTTAAAATTTATAGATCATTAATTGAATGATTTTTCAGGAAAACATTTCGGAAGCCAAAAAAGAGGACCCAAAAATCCCGGTAGTGTCGACGTCGTTCGTGCTGCCAAAGAACAATTTGAATCTCCAGAACCGGATTGAGCTGATCGGATCTGGATCTGGAGCTGGAAATTTCTATGGGAGCGCACCCTCCGCGGATCAAGGTAACGCAAAAGGTAAACTTTAGATAACTATAACAATAAATATAAATATATTTATGGATGTTTACATGAAGCATGTTAATACAACATTGTTCGCGTTGGTGTGAATGGATCAGGCCCTTTTCCTTTCACATTCGTTAAGTCCAAGGCTCTGCACGAGTTTCGAAGAAGACTAATGCTCTAATCTAAATTCTCCGACTCTTACATTAATATTAACTTAAGTTATAATAAAAGAATATTGAATAACACCGTTGACTTTTTCAGGAAATGAAAAGCTGCAATTGAAAACTAGCGATGCGAGTCATGTACAATTCTACCGTACGCCTCTTGTCAGGTACTCACCAATCGGGTACCCTGTTTATTACAATCATCTTCAGTATGTTCCATCTTACTACTACTTCTGACCGGGATATTAATTATTATTCTTATTATTATTATATAAAATTATATTGTAACTTTTGAGCATGTGATTCAAATTATTAAAAAATTTGAAGCAATAAAAATCAATAAAAATAATAAAACAATTATTTACTTACGCTTAAAATTTTATAAATTTCAGGAAGATTAATCAAATAAAAAAATGATTCCTTGTATCTAGATTTAATAATTAATTTTCATTTTTTATTCTTTTTACAAAATAACTTAAGATTGAGCAATAAAAGAAAATCTGGAATAATAAAAAATTTATATCATTTGTTACAATACAATACAATAGACAATCGCAATTTTTATTAATTTGAATAATAATATTACCAGAAAAAATTCAACGAATTAATGCACTGCAATCCAGTCCAACTTAATTAAACTCAATCCAATGAATATTAAATAATTAATAAAAGTACTGAATCGATCAATGAAAGTTTGTGGAATGCATTGAAATCCGAGCATGACATTAGCTTGGTGACAAATAGATAAATGTATTGCTTTATATCTAGTAAACGTGTTTAGTTCTTTTTTATATATCTTTCTTTTTATTTACCTTTTTTTTTTTATTCATTTTGTTTATATCTAAAAAAATATCCCATTAGAAAACGAGCGGTGATCTATCATAGCGAGGCCATTGCATGACGTTGACAGTTAAGCTGTTACGAAAATAAAATAACTGTCAGCTAATGATTTTTAGTGTTATGCAGTATAATGTAATCTATCATAACAACCAAAACGTAAACATTGTCGCAATTTAATCCTACAAATAATAAAAAATTCTGAAGTGGAAAAAATATCAAAAAATTTATTTTTTTAAATTGTACTGAGTGATTGATGAAATATAAAAAAAATCAACGTCAAATTAATACTCGCATATTTTCCAACCGGGTTCCACGTCAATGGTCAGTTTGCTGTTGACCGGTCCATTATATATTGTATTACTTAACTCTTAATAACTATTTTGTTCAACTGTCGACTCATTCTATTGACTTACCGCATTTTTAAGTGTTGTATTAATATTATAGTAATTATCAATTATATATGCACGTGTTATGTGTATTTACTCTCACATATATCATATCAAGGAATTGATCTACTAATTATTACACACTGATATTAGTAATAGATTAATAATATCTGTTTTTTGATGGCCTCATGTCTAAGATCTCTCACTCGTTTAATACTGAATTAATTTTATTTATATATTTTTTTTTATTTAATATTTATATTAATACTATAATTGTTTAGTTGATAATTACGGTCTAACAATTGAGGCTAATTAATCGTGGTAATTATCACGCTTTATTATTAAATTCAAAATTTTTCACGCTCTATATATCTGTTTATGTATAAGGAGTTGAAAAAAAATTTTTTATGGTCAAGTATTTTTAAATTTCTTTATAAAAAATCTCAAGTAACTTTTAAAAAAAATATTTTTAAAAATAATAAAAAAATTATTAATAAAATTTGAACCCAATTTTCAAAAATCTATTTTTATTCCTCTAATAATTTCTACGCGTTACTTTTTTACAATAATAATTTGGGCGGTATATTTTTTATTTAAAATTGTAAATGCGAACAAAACGATTTTAAATCGCGTGACGATTTTTAAAATGAATAATTATTATTATTATTTATATATTTATTATTATTATAATTATAATTCACTTTCAACTTATGTCTTAACAGTTTTTATTAAATAAATTTATACACGTCTAAATCATAAGATTTAAACGCTAAAAAACACTCACTCTTTTTGTTTAATTTAATAATTATTTATATCCACCGTCAATTATTTTTTGACTCTTGCTATATTACATTACGATAAATTTAATAATTATTAATTATTATTATTATTATTATAATCACTTAATAATATTGACCCGCCTACAGTTTTTTTTTTTTTTTATTTTATCGTAACTACTTATCTAAACACATAGTTTTATTATATTATTTTACTTATCAGTACATTCGCTCTTTTATTTTAAATTCTTTATCAATCAATAAATAAATTTAATTGTAATAATTTATCTTTAAATATCAATACACAGCTCAGACCGAGCGTCAAAAATTCTACATAATTTCAAAATAAATAAACAAACTCTAATTAATTATTAAATATATTTAATTTATATATATCAACATTTAACTTTCACTATCGAATTATTTCTCTACACATGACAACTCATAGTTTATTTAAATAATTATAATTATTATTTTTTTCCTCTATATAATCAAGGAATTTATCAATTATTAATCAATAATTTTTTAATTATTTATTACAATGAATATATTTTTATTTTTATATTTACTTTAATATGCGCGAATGAAAAAAAAAAATAATTAATACCGCGTGGTCATTTTAATTATACTCCTTCCTCATTCTTAATTAATAATAATTATTTTACATTAATCATTAATTATCAATGAATTATTTGTTAGTTTTAATTTAATAATCACTTATTATTAATTAAGATTATTTAAAATTGACTGTCGGAACTTTGAGATTTTATGAATTCGGATAATCACGATTTAACGTGCGTTAATTATAGTTTTTTAACGATCTTATGCTCATCAAACTTATGTTAGCTTATTGCTAAGCTACTCTAGAATATAGATAAATTCTCTTACTGCTATAATTATTGGTAATTTATAATAAATAAATACGCAATTAATTAATTACAATAAACGTACAAGATTGTCTTGATGCGTCGCAATGGCGCACGCGTTTACGTGCTTGGATTATTTATGTAAAAAATAATTAAAAAAATGTATTTTGAGTTTTTTATAGTAAATAATTGAGTTTATTAATTAAGAAATATTCAGTAGGCCGTAGTTTGATGAAACATACACTAGCAGTCTTGAAATTTTTAAAAAAGATTAGAGTTTTAATATGCAGGTTATGATTTACAGTAAAAAATTTTGTGTTAAAAATTTTTATGTTAAATATTTAACACTTTTTTGTATTGATTTAAAAGGATAAATGTTAAATTTACACACAAAAGTGTTAAATATTTAACACAAAAATTTTTAACATTAAGTTTTTTGACGCAAATTTTTTTACTGTGTAAATATAAATATTTTGTTTTAGAAAAATTCTTTAATAGTTTTTTTTTGTAAGTAGAAAATTTTTAACTTCAAAAAAATTTGTAACTTGCATATTAATCATAAATGTCTACCCAAAACTTTATCTCAAAAAAAAAAAATAAATATTTAACACTTTTTTGTATTGATTTAAAAGGATAAATGTTAAATTTACACACAAAAGTGTTAAATATTTAACACAAAAATTTTTAACATTAAGTTTTTTGACGCAAATTTTTTTACTGTGTAAATATAAATATTTTGTTTTAGAAAAATTCTTTAATAGTTTTTTTTTGTAAGTAGAAAATTTTTAACTTCAAAAAAATTTGTAACTTGCATATTAATCATAAATGTCTACCCAAAACTTTATCTCAAAAAAAAAAAATAAAATATTTAAACGCAATGATAAATAACTCTAATACAACGCTCTATTATAATCACCCGTTAAAATTTGTATTTATCTATTTAATACTTATCAATGACGCTATTAATAATGACAATAGAGATATATCACTGATAGAGTTAATTATTGACTCGAAAATTACAAAAGTTTTGAGTAGACATATACTCAAATACGTGTCGAAATTTTGGTAACAACGAAATAACCGCGTCATTTTTTGATAATGATCAATAATGACGTTTATTAATGTTGTTTGTTTTATATTGACGACTGAAGAAGAAGAAGAATAAGAAGAAGCGGTTGTTTTATTGCAAAACCAAAATTTTAGATTAAGAAATCAAGATTAGAAAATCCAGCTGATGCATTTAGTTTAAAGATGCAGATAAGACTGAAGAAATAAGTGGAAGATGAAAGGAAAGAATAAAAATTATCAATAATGTAGATTATGTATATAGATATATGTTTACATATACATATATGTATAACTACGATGCGTATTTTTTGATACAGATACAAGTAAAGAGACAGTACTACATAGGTACATGGATTATAGAGGTACAGAGTTTATAATAATAATAATAGTAATTATAGTAATAGTAAAATAAAAAAATAATAAGATAAATGGTAGAGTGTAAGAGCGCAGACACCAGATATGATTTTAAAAAATAAAGCACACCGGGACAACGACTTAATTTAAATAATAATCAACTGTAATAACAGTTAGATTGTCTTACTTTTGGCTTTTAATTTAATTACAATTTATATTTTATAAAACTGATTGTTTTGTATTTACTCCATGCGTTGTCCCGAGTGCTGTAAGACCAAATAAAGATATATAAGATTTATTAGATATTTGATATAGACTTTTTAGTATGATACATTTGTTGACGATCAATTGCGATCTTTAGTTATTTTATTTATTTTTCTGACTAATAGTGTTACGTTGATCCCATAAAATATATATTTATGCAGGCACAATTCGTAACGATTGTTTCGGTCGAACTTGTGCGTATTTATCGCACCTTTTATAATATTTTTACTTTTACAAAATATCTTCTTCGATTTTTGGAAGATAGCGGTTAGAGGAAGAAACAAAATTTTATTTATTTACATCGTCTGGGTGTTTCATTGTTGATAGGTCCAGTGTGTTCGGAATATACAAATACAAAGTATACACTGATGCTTTTTTTTTTTAAAGATAGAACAATTATAGTTAATGATAATAGTTTTGAAGAAGAAGATGAAATATAGTCGCAGATACAAGAATATAGTTCTTAGGTTTTTTTTTTAATTTTTGTAAATTTTAAATATCTGATTTTTTTATTTTATAAAAAACAAAAAAAAATTTTTGTATTTTATTTAAATTTTCAAAGATTTTTCTTTTAATTTAATAAATATTCAATCAGATATTTAGACATTTAAACAATTAAACAAGCGTATTAAAAATAGTTATAAGCAAAAAATTCAAGCAATTTTTAAAAATAAAATTTTATG